CAAGAAGGAATCTCTTGCCTGTGGATAGCTGTGTACATGCTTATCTACAAAGAACAGAAAGATGCTTTCTAAAGCTATTGCTTGGGAGAAAAAGCAGTTCCAATTGATCATCCACCTGAGTGCCAGGTTTTGCTCTCTAATGACTTGAGTCAGCCAGTGCCCCAAGCCACTCCCAAGTCCCCTTGCTGGGAGTGTTTAACTGCATCTGTCACCTCCCTGGTGTTTTGCCCCTAGAAATCCACTCCAGATTGAATAAAAATATTCAGCTAGGTCAGCGATTGCTCAGGCCAGTGCATTTGGGGACAGAGAGAGATCATGACACCACGCGAAGAAGGTAATGACAGCCTTTAGAATCAGGAGAACCGGTTGTTCTAGCAGCAGATTCGTTTCTCAAGCCCATTCTAAATTATCAAAGTTTAATGACAAAAGATTTCATAAATACCTACATGTAGCAGTCACCTGAATCTTTGGTCCTAGGTTGGCAATGAAGTGACCCCACTGAAATAAGGAAATAAAACAAACATGGAGTTTAATTTAGAATCAATTAATGTTATGGGGACTTCGTGAGAAGACTGGTCTTATTATTCCTCATGCTACTCCTACTCCTAGGAAAGAGAAGCCAAACTTGTATTTCTAGAATTGCATTCAGGGCAACTTATGTGATAGAGACAGAGGGTCAGGCCTGGAGCTTAGTGGGTGGGTGGAGGGGAAGGTGGGAAGGGTGCATGCAGGAGGGGAAGGAGGAGATACAGGGAAGGAGACAGAGGCAACTGGGAGCTGCCTGACCCCAAACTTTTATAGCCCATATACACAAATACTTAGATTCTTCAGACTCTTGCCAGAGTACCGTGGCTCAATGCCAGTCTCCGGGCTCCCTGCTCTTACCACCCCGGCTCCCTCCTGCACCACACCATGGGGGTCTCAGGTGCCCCTGACTCATGCTCAAGCTCTAGTCACATCTCCCACATCTCAGCTCTTTGGCAAGCAGGTGCTTCTGGGCTACCACTTGGGCTTGGGGTACATATCCTGGCCACATGGTGCGTCCTTGGGGGTTTGAATCCAGGGAAAAGGCCCTACACGTGCGCTTGGGTGCAGTCTATAAGAAGGGGGAGTTTGGTGAGGATTCCAAGTAGGCCCATCCCTTGGGGTCCATGGACTCCCCACCTTGTGGAGGGAGACATGGCTGGAGGAGGGCAAGAGTGAAGCTGTTGAGAGTGCAGCAGCTCCTCTTGCCCAAGTGTAAGGCTGGTACAGATGGGTAGAATTGTTCAGTGCTCTCACAAGGACATTTTTTTTTTTTTTTTTTTTT